ATATCTGGAATCCTGTTAAAGTGAAATGGAGTGAGCTTTCCAGCGGTCCGTACAATCGTGCACTCTCGAGAAGGATTTTCTTCCTGAAAAACAGCATTTTAAATAAGGAACTTGCAGGAACTTCAAGGAAAAAAAACTGGTAGCTGGCCACACTTTTTTAATGTCTAACAATTACCGACAGAAATTTTCTTTCCAAGCAAAATAAGCTATTGTATAGCGTATAACTTAAACAGGTTAAAAGAACACCTCCTTTGTGGTTTGGGGGGCAAAGGTGAGATTGAACTGCTCAATGAGGCACAGCACTCTGCCTATCCACAAGCCCTCCCAACCCCAAGGAGGAAGACAGCAGCCAGACTCCCTATGCACAGAATATGCCCCCAAAAGACACTAAAAGTAGTAAATACTGAATAAAAGAATGTGAAAACTCCAAGAAATTCTACCTGCAGTACTTTAACAAATGATGATACCAAGCCATTGATGCTGGACCATGGACCATTAAGCAACTCCACTATCTTGAGACTGCCCTGCCAGAATGAGTTCAGGCCAGTCATTCAGTTATAGAGTAACTGATTAGTCAGGTATATCGTAGATATATTTCCATGAAGCTATATGGTTGCCACATAATGGATAAATAAAAAGAATAAATCAGATTAATTCAGAACGTCCAACTACTAGTAATATATGCACAAAAGAAATTCATTTATGAAAGTAAAAGATGAGGTTACAAACCCATCAAGGCTGCAAAGGGTGTTGAGCTCTTGTGCAGGACAATCACGGAGAGGAAGCACAACAGGGATCTCCCATCTTGAATCAACGTACTGTATGTCTGCAGATAAAGAATAGCCCTGACCCTGAAAAGGCCAAGGTGATCAAATAAGATAGGCAGTGAATTAAAATGAGAACTTAAAGAGCAAGAAATTATGAATAAATATCCAGGATAACCAATGAGGGGGGATCCGTGCGCTATGGGACTAGTGCTCCCTGGTATACTTATTTCACCACTGGGTAACTGCACTAATATATATTATTTTTATTAACCATAAAGTATAAAATTAATTTATTAGGAAGAGAAAATGGCCCTTCGAACCTCTTCAAGTTATATTTTTGTTTGCAGTTCCTAGCACAATGACCTCTATCTCATGCATGTTTCTTGCTCTAACCTCATCAAACTAGCACAGGTGCCTAATGAGTTCTAGGAATAAAAGCACAAAAACTTCTAATTTCTAAAATACGTTCAAAGATGAACAATTACACTTGTAGTGTTAGACGTTGCTCCAATTGAAAGCAACTCCTCTAGTCTACCTAGCAATTTGCTACTTCGCGTTCTACATCACAATGCGTTACCAGTTTAAGATTTTGACCTGGGACCAACCTCAAAACTACGTCAGACAACAGACAACCCCTTCACAACTTGAGCTGAAGACCAACAGCTAAATGTTATCATATTGATAGAATGAATTAGTTGTTTTCACCATAGACAATAGAAGTAAGTTTTTTCCAATAAAAGACCAATTTACCTTCACCGTGGCAGAAATGACATGGCAAGCAATCCTCGATGTGCACGATCCTAGCACAACTCTAGTGTACCTATTTTCAGAAGCAACCTACAACAAATCCATTAATCAATCCTTCATCTCTTTATCCCCATATTCACAGTTCAAACATAAAATTTAGAGCCAAACCTTTTGCAAGGACAACATCCGTAAATGTATGAGAAGATCTTCTTTCCCAGTAACATCACTGACAGCATCTAATAACTTCTTCAATCTCTCCTTACCATCAATATTATCTGAAGAGAAAATATTCTCAATTGGAACAACATACAACTCCTTTTCCGGTGGGGCTAATTTCGACACAATTGATCTAATATCCTCAATTGCCTTCTCAGCTCCTTGAGAAGCAAATGAATGAATGGAACTTTCATCAATAAATGCAACTCCAACACCAAAAACTGGCAATGACCTATCTTTACTTGCATCAAAATTCTTCTGTGCTCTACATTGCATCTCATGTACAAATTGCAAGACCACCCTAAAATCCCAACAAACATATATAAACATTCTTAGAAAACATGTTCCAAATTGTTGACAAATATATATTAAAAAAGGAAAAGAGAGAAAAACCTGGAGGAAGGGCCACCAGAGAAAGCGACGAGAACTTTGTCTGAAGGAGTAATCATAGCGTTATAACTAACAGCCTGCTTGAACTTTCCGTACAGATTGGTCTTAAAGCAATCCTTGCAAAATCTGGCATCATCCCCACCGATGCCGCAGCAAACGAATTCGTTGGACTTGCACTTCACGCACAGAATTTGGTGAGTTGTGGCGCTTCCGTTTATTCCTCCTCTTGTCGTTGGTTGTCGCTGTTCCTCCTCGACCTCGTACTCTTTGTAGCAACCGGACGAGTTGCACGTCGCCGAATTGCACGCCATCACTCACTTTTTGTTCTGCCCTGTTTTCGTCAATCACCGTATCTTTGTCCTAGGTAGGGTTTAAGCGTCACGGGCTTCGAACTTCAGCCAACTTCAATGTGGCGCAGTAGTCTGGTGCTCTAAAGGAGGTTGCGCAGAAACATAAAATAAATAAATATAAAAAAAGAGATTAGAGAAAATAAATAAATAATATTATTTCAATAACAAATAAAATAATTAAAATTTAACTACAAAGTAAATTAAAATTTGATTTGATTGTCTTGTAATGATTTTAAAAATACTATTTATAATAATCTATTTAATTTAAACTTGATATGTAAGTAAAAGTAAATATAAAAATATTTAACTTAAACTTATTTGAAATATAAAAAAAATAAAATCTTAAAATTATACCTCATTAATAAACCAGTAATGGATGACTTTATTTTTGAAAAGTATTCTAGTTGTCCTAAAATACTTTGCTTGGCTACCAAAATTATAGTTGATAGATCCTTAAATGTGGATTAGCTTGATAGTCCATACGAACTGAACTAGTCACAGATTTACGGATAAAAACATTAAGAATTTCACTTAAATTTAAAAATTAAAAAAAAAGTTGTACTTTCAATCGACTCTAATTACCTATTTACTTTTATTTCACTCTAAAAAAATCAAAAGACCTATTTAAATTTTGTATTTTTTTATTTTATTCAATTTGATCTCTGAACTCAAAATTAAAGCAATTTAATTTCATGATTTTGAAAGTTTATTCAATTTAATATCAGTCATCTAATTTTATCATTAAAAAAATGATGTCAGTACTAATGTGACACATTTGGATGACGTGACATTGAGATGATGATGTGACACAATATAATGAAGTGACAATGCCATATGGTATTAATATAATGATGTGGCAATATTGACGTAGCATTGATATGTTGACATGTCAACCATGTGGCAGATAAAAAAAATTTTAAAAATAAAAAATTCTGTTATATCATGAGAATTAAATTAAATAAAAAAATATTGTATAAAAATTAAATTGAACAAAATTAAGATGTTGAGGGATTAAATTGAAAAAAATTTAAAAAATATAAATTTTTAAATAGATTATTGATGTACTTATTAATAGATCAAATATTTAAATATAAAAGATTTATGGTGTCTAAAAATATATAAATATTTTTTTACTTGATTATTTAATTTAGAATATATACGTTAATTTTCTTTCTTACAAAAATTAAGTTTGAATTCTTCATTTATAAAAAAATTTTAAAAAAATTTTATACCCAAAGTCAAATTTAAATGAATAATTTGTATTACGTTATAATAAAATAATATAAAATAATTAAATAAATTTCTTTCTATTTATAATAGTATAAAATTATAAAATTTATTTAATTTAGTTATCAATTTGAGTTAAAAACTCAAATTAGCAAAATAGGTTGATTTAGTTTTTTTTAAAATAAAGAACGGATATATGAAATTAGTGATAATTATAAAAATAATTTCTCGTTCTAATTTATTTAATTTAGACATGACAAATCTCTTAATACAACTATAAAATCTGAGTTTCAATCTTCTAATTTTTTATTTTATTTAATATTTTAAGTTATATTTTTTAAGTCGAAATTTTTTAGATTAAAGACTGAATTTATGGTTGATAAATTTAAATGTAATTGTAAATATTTGTATTATTTTATTTTATTAATAATTTTTTTAAATTTAAATTAATAATTTAAATTTAAATTTAACAGAATTTGATTGTGGCATTTGAACTTAAATAAAATCATTTTATAAGAAATTTTGAGTAAATTTAAATAAAAGGTAAATTGGGTAAGAGTTGAATAATTTCAAAAGAATGGGTATTTATAAATTGTGAAACTATTTTACTAATTTGAATTTAACTCAACTTGAAAACTAAGTTAAATAAATTTTAAAATTTTAAATTATTATAAATAGAAGAAAAAAGAATTTATTTAGTTATTTTATATTATTAAATTATAATATAATTTTAAGTTATTTATTTAAATGTAATTAATTTTTTTAATTTTTTTTGATAAAAGGAGAATTTAAATTTAATTTTTTTAAAAAAGATAAATAAATGTAAATATTTTAAAATCAAATAATTAATTAAAAAATTATATATTTTAACATTTTATATTTTTTATATTTAAATATTTAACTTATTAATAAAGATATCAAAAATCTATTTATCAATTTTTATTTTTTAATTTTTTTAATTTAATTTTTTAATATTTTAATTTTATTCAATTTAATCTATATATTATATATTTTTGTTGAATTTAATCTCTATGATATAATAAAATTTTTTATTTTTAAATTTTTTATTTATCATATGATTTTTACATATTAACATATTAATGTCACGTCATTATATTAGTGTCATGTGACTTTATCATATTATCACATCAATTCTATTGATATTATCACTGATGTCATCTAGTTTAATGATAAAATTAAATGACATTAAAGGAAAGATTAAATTAAAATAATTTATAAAATTAAGAAATTAAATTATTTTTATTTTGAGTTCAAAAATAGACAAAATTAAAAAATACAAGATCTAAATAACTCTTTGGAAAAAAAAAAAAAACTCTCTAACACGAAGCCCTCGCTGTTCTGCCACTTTCCTTCCTTGAACGAAAACTCTCGCTTCTCTGGTGGAACGTATCGCCGTCGTCGCCGGCCACCACTTTGATAAGGTACCGGAAGCCATTTTTTTTTCATTCTTGCATGTATGAATTTATTTTAGTATTTTTTTTCCTTCAAGTTCGAGAGGGTTTTATTTTTTTGAAGAATCACTCCGACAAGAGCACAGCCGAAACCACACATAACTATTTAATCCCCTCTGCCATTTTGGAGACCCCTTTCTCAAGTTTCGTTGGGTTCTAACTGGATATTTTATCTTTTGCTTCTTTGTATGGTGGGTCTTTGTTTCTACTTTGTTTATTGCTTCCATTCTCATTTGCATGAATGTATATTCAAATGTTGAGTCCGAGTATCACATTTTATCGATTATGCTAATTTAATAAGAAATTAGAATTATTTTTATAGAAAATTGTGGTCAAATTAGAGCAAATATTCCGGGTGTTTTCATATTCTCTTTTTTGCGTAAAGCTGTTTTTTTGGCTTGTAGTTTTGTACAAACTAAAGAACATTTTGTGTAGAAAACTATGGGAAACAACATTTGATAATTATCCTAAATGTTTCTCCCCTTTTCTGATCAAAAGCAAATAGAGTGAGGATGGGATTGTCAAATGCAAGTGGGGACTTGTCAACGGAAGTGGAGGTAGATGCTTTCAGACGCCTCTTTCCTCTTCGTTTCTATGAGAAACATCTTTCAGAATCTATACGCCCTGATGCTCGGCCACTTGGAAGAGCAAGAGATACCACTATTGCCCTTGGTTAGTCAAGAAAAAGAAAAACCGTCTTTGAACTGGTCTGTGGCATGATTTTTCATCATACTTGAACCTGATTTCTTTAAATCTCTAGGGGCTGTGGCATCTGCTAATGGTTCAGCACTTGCAAAGATTGGCTCAACTGTAAGTTTCTCACTTTGTCTCGATACATACAGCTTTAGATTGGCCAGCAGTCAAAGCCTGGAGTTTAATAATTTGTTCCTTGCAATCCATAGACAATGTTGGCTGCTATCAAAATGGAGGTCATGACCCCCTCAACAGAAACACCAGATGAGGGTTGTATAGGTTAGTTGCCATAAGCTGCATGCTTTCTTATCTCTCTTTCTCTTTCATAAACATATCACTTCTCTTTCGCTTTTTGTTGTAATATTTCTTTTTCTCAATTTTCAGCTATCGATTTCCACATGCCTCCTATTTGTTCTCCAATTGTAAGGCCTGGCAGACCGGCTGAGGCAGCACCAGTTGTGTCAAAGCAGTTATCTGACACTATTTTAAGGCATACCTAAATTATCTCAAATGAAGAGGCTATAATTTACTATTTTCCCCTTCTATTACTTATTTTCTTCTTCACATAGATATTTACATATGATTATTTATGTAGTTAACTAGGTATCAGCCTTGAATTTGAAACCCGAGTTCTTCTTTGTGTGGCTTTGTACTTGCTGAAGCACGCTGCTCAATCGTTTATCTTAATTTGTTGGTGGTTTCTTTTCCGCTAATGCTCCGTACTCTTAAACTATGTTCTGTTTCAAAATCCTCCACCTTGATTCGATGTTTGACGTTTATGTTCTCAAACAACTCCTCACATGTGTAATTTCAGTTCTGGCATGATAAGTCTGAAGGAACTGTGCTTGGTTAGTGGAAAAGCTGCTTGGATGGCATATATGGTAGGTGGTTGTGGTTTAAAATGTCTTCATTGTCCATCTTAGAACTTTCGAATTTATCTAGGACTTCAGTCTGGCATCTGGTGTTATACAAGTTAATACCAAAATTCAGGCAGTGTCATAGTGCCTTTGTTCTCCTTGAATAAAAAAGTAACATAGTCTTCTGCTGTTGCAGGACGTATACTGCTTGGATGCTGATGGTGCTCTTTTTGACACTGCATTACTCTCAGCTGTTGCTGCTTTTTCTCATTGTAAGAATTTCACACGTTTCCGTCATATATTTCAATAGAAACCAACTAATGGGTCTAAATATAACAATACTTGCTCAAAACAACCAACCCTTCCCAAGGAATTAAAATTGAAACATAAGGAAAAGACAGTTTGCACTGGTGAAAGGCCTTTATTTAAGATGAAAAAGTTATGTATCACCTGAGGAATTCCTCCAAGGTAAGGTGAAATAAAAGTAGCATATGAGCCTTTATTTATCAAGAGTGCATGGTTCTGGGTTGACAGATCACTCTTGGAACAGAAGGCTCCTTTTCTGCCTGTTCTTGTTAAGGATTTTTGTGATAAATTACGAAAAGCTATATCCACTGGATGAATTAGCATAAATCCCCAAAATGTTGCTTGATTTTGTTTCAGGGCCGATATTTGGAGCATCATACATTGTTCATTAGTGTGTTTGAGGATCTTGTGTTCTATATACAAATTACTTTCTATGGTTGTGACATAGGAAGGGCTTTCTACAATTTTTAGATCAGATGAATTGGAAATGAATTTCATTTACTAGCAGAAAATGTTCAAGTTGGCTTCTGAGGGGAATATTTTACAGATGTGTCAATTGGGCCAATATTCTATTACAAGGCTTGTTATCTAAGAAACCCTTTCCAGTGGTAGTTTATATTTTATTGACAAATGTTTTACTTAATGATTAATTCATGTATTCAATAATTTTTTCTATTGGAAATTCCTTATGTGTTTCTGTATAGACGAACAGGGAGGTTTAAAAATGTTGCTATTGAATTAGCCCCACTCTTTGATCTTTACATTTCTAAGCCATTTTAAATCAAAACTTGGTGAATCCATATCCATCTGCAGAATCTGGGGAAAAAGAATATGCTTGCTGACAATTTGCTTCCCACATGAATAGGTGCATTAGCAGGGTGACTGTCTGTAAACCTTGCCACAAAACAAGGGTAATTAAGACTTCAGGATTTAAAATATGAAGCAAGGTCAACTATCTGCTAGGCCTGCAATTTTCAATCCATTTAATCAGGAGTTTCAAACTTAACACTTTTTTTTTTTTGAAAAGCAAATTTGACACTTATATAATTCTTGCCCATCTTGATATCCCATGCGAAGCTTTTCTATATCTTCAGATCTTGATATTCTCTTTGCAGCTACACTGTTGGCGAATAGATTGGTTTTGGAGTGTCTAATACTGTGGTTTTTTTGCCTTACTCTCTGTAATTACTTATTATTCTAGAGCAAGGCGTATTCTGTTTTTGTGTTGGACTCTGATATACTTTTGATTCAACTTGGGCGCTTATAAACAATTATTCTCTAACTATATTCTAATTGCTTTAGTTTTATGAAAATTTTCTATCTTACAGTGGAAATCCCAGTAGTTTCTCTCAATGATGATGGAAAAATAGTTCTTTTGTCTGAGGAACAAGAAGGCATGTCAGAAAGGGAGCCAGTCAATAAGGAGAAGAGAAAACTTACACTATGCAACATTCCATTCTCATTGACGTGTATACTTCACAAGAATTACATTCTGGCAGATCCTACTGCAGAGGAAGAATCTATTATGGAAACCCTTGTAACTATAGTCTTAGATTCATCTAGTCAACTTGTGTCGCTCTATAAACCGGGTGGACCAGTTCTTGCATATACATCAGCTATCCAGGTCAGTTCAATTTAAGTCTTGGTGGCACTAAAATGTTTAATTAAATGCAAATTATTTGGCAATGCTTTAGCAGCATAAGACTTTTAAGTTTGTGTTCTTATGATGGGATATTTTTAACAGAAATGTTAGACCTAAAGGACATTTCTTTATATGAGGAAAACTGTGTATATGAATGTGGGTTGACGTGTTCATGGTTGTAATAAAGCTTTTGACTTCTGTCAGTATTTCAAGCCCTTGGAGAGCAATTCGCATAATAATAGAAAAAAAATTTCAAATTTGTTGGTGTTCTGAAGCATTTTCAGTATGATATGCATGTGCATGCCCTATTGAAATTCTAACAAATTTATGGGCTAAAAGCTGGTAAGGAAATTGCTTCTGTTGTTGCAGGATTGCATTGCAATAACACGGCAAAGAGTGAAGGAACTTCAGACGATTCTAGAGGAAGCCATTTCTGGAATGGAGGTTGACTAATCTTGTTGTTTACTCAGTTAAGGTGTTTGTCAGTCAATTTGTGCAGTTTAATGGTAGTAATTGTCATTTTAAATTATCATTGTTCATTGTATTGCGTTTGTTTAGTGACCTTACTGGTTCAGGACAGACTTTGGGGGAGAGAGTGTAATGAATCAATTCTGATACGTAAGTGGAAAATTTTGTTTATTGCCTTTTGATATCTATTGATATTCTTTCCGGGAGGGATAAAACATGAATGGTGGACTGATACTTTGATAACTTTAGTGCTATGAATGAGGACCACCCTGATCTTGTGGTAATTGCAACAGTGTCCCCTATGTGACTTAGTGCAAGGTCCAAACTGTTTGGTTTGGCTTAATGGAATGTATTTCAGAAAGCCGTTTCTGACTAGATTCCAAGTGGATTCTCTCAACCTTGAACTGACAACTTGTGCCCCAGCCGTGTTTCAATTTTGGGTTGGGGACGAGTTAGCTCTGGACTCTGGTGGTGGCTGCAAGGGCTGCCATTCCGCCCATCCCAACCTCAGTTTTCTTTGTCCCTCCTAAGTCACCTTTCCTCCTCATAAGGAAATTAACGGAGAACAGAACCTAAAATCCAGCTTGCTATTGCAATCCCTAGGGTCCCAAAAATCTCTTTCCCCCGGACTTGTTGCCAAAGAATTTCTTATCTTTTTCTTATTGGGTTCTGTTGTTTTATTACGAAGTTACAATTAAAGGTACCTTTTTAATTCACAGTATTGGGAATGATCACATTACTTATCATCCACTATTACATCTAATGTGTGGATATTGTCATGAATAGTATCATAACTAGTGCCCTAACCCTGAGGATACTGTTATGAATCCCTGGGGGGAGGGGTGTTTGATGTCATGGTTTCCTCACTCTGGGGGCTTTGATGTTTTGAGGAGCAACTTATTGCATCTTGGCTTGTGTTATTGGATTTGTTGCATTCAGTTAAGAAGAAAATGTAAGTTTGTATAACCTGTGAGATTGATTAACAGGGCATTCAAAGAATACTTTTTCATGATGTCTGAATTGGGGGAGAGATTACTCCAAATCCAATGGTGGGAATACTTTTATTAAGGTAAAATACCTTCATCTGTTTAAATTTTAAATAAATTTATTAATTTTTGAAAAGAACATTTTATTTCAAAAATATAAATATTGTTAATAAAAATTAAAAAAATTGAAATATTTTTTTATTAATTTTAAAAATTATTATTATATATTTTTTAAAAAAATTATAGAAAAAAGCACAAATCCAAATAAAGTCGCGATGGGTGATGGGACACATCTGGAGAAACGTAGGTTGGAAGTGTGGCCTCTTTTAAGCCCTAAACACATCTGGAGAAAACAGCCGAGGGTGATGGGACACCACTCTTTACGTACGGACCTCTGAGCTACTGCTGCTCTAGGTGTCAATGTAAGTGTTGTCCTTCCATGTTCACTGATTTTTTCTTTCTAAAAGATTCAAGGATGCTACAAGTGCTATTCATACAAAGCCAGATTTTCCATTTATAAAATCCACGACGGTAGAAATTTTTCACTTTGTAAACTCAGGATGTCTTTAACTGTGCAACGAATATTATGTCTTTCTCGTGTAAAAAGGAGGAGATTCTTCTTGATTCATACTTATAAGTCTAACAGTATGTATCTGTTGCGCGAATATAATGATCATTTCTCTTTACTCCAAACTTATTAAAATACAAAACCAAAATTCATACTTGAATGGTAATTCTAAAGTACAATCACACAGTTAATTTTGGACATAAATCTTATTTTCATTGCTTTTCCGGCTGAGCAGAGCCCAAAGCTTAGGACTTTAAATGGTTTGGATTGTTGATAAGCTACAATCATACTATGATTCGAAGGGCTTTCTTTTCTTTCTTTGTTTCTTTGGGTTTACTATTTTTAGTTTAATTAAGCATTAGCATTGAATGGAGAAGTGCAGATAGGACAAGAGGTGGGTAAATGTCACTTCAAAAAGCTGTGTGAACTGGTCCCATTCACATTACACATAAAAAAGAAAAAAAATCAGTTCCTTTTACAAGCCAGGGGGAGGAAGACATTCTGAGAAAATCTTGTCAATATCTCTTCTCTCTCATTATCCACCCTCTGTCTTCCCTTGTAGCACTTTTCGAAATCCAACTCAACCAATCAGGATTCAAGAAACTCCATCACCATAACCCCAACAGATAGATAGGCTAGACACCCCCGTTTTCCTCTCTCTCTCTCTCTCCCTCCTTGCTAGAACCAGCCTCGAAACAAACTCGTCCTCACAAATAGCTCCAATTGCAACCCCTCATAAAACCCACTCGCCACGTGTTCCTTTCTCCCACCACTAACCATAAAAACTAACCATATTTCAATTCTCAAAATTCCCCTGTCCACAGAAAAACTATAAAACCAGCAATGTTTCAGCACCCAAACGAAAGAAACAGGGAGAAGAGGCAGAGGCTGAAGCAGCAACACCCCAAAATCCCAAACAGAAACAAGAGCCGAGAGACAGGCAGAGAAATGCATATTTTTTGTTCACTATTCTCTTCTCTGCCTTCTTGTTGCTCTTTTTCTTCTTCGTTTCTCCTAGTAAAGCAGATTGCTCTGTTTTAGTTGCTACAGAGTAGCCCCAACAATGGCTTCTTTAGTGTCTTCACCATTCACTTTGCCGTCTTCCAAGCCTGACCAAATTTCTTCTCTTTCTCAAAAACACTTCTTTCTTCACTCATTTCTTCCCAAGAAGACCAACAACCAGCCCAACTCAAAATCTTCCTTGAAAGTAAAATGTGCAGTAACTGGCAATGGCCTTTTCACTCAAACAACACCAGAAGTTCGTAGAATTGTGCCAGAAAAGAAAGACAATCTTCCCACTGTCAAAATTGTCTACGTTGTCCTGGAAGCTCAGTACCAGTCTTCCCTTTCGAATGCAGTCCGGTCCTTGAACCAAACTTCCAACTTTGCTTCATTTGAAGTTGTTGGTTACTTGGTTGAGGAGCTTAGAGATGAAAGTACTTATAAAACCTTCTGTAAAGATCTCGAAGATGCGAATATCTTTATTGGGTCTTTGATTTTTGTTGAGGAGCTTGCATTGAAAGTAAAGGCTGCTGTGGAGAAAGAAAGGGATAGGCTTGATGCTGTTTTGGTGTTCCCTTCCATGCCTGAAGTAATGAGGCTAAACAAGTTGGGTTCTTTTAGTATGTCACAGCTTGGTCAATCAAAGAGTCCATTTTTTCAGTTATTCAAGAGAAAGAAGCAAGGAGCAGGTTTTGCTGATAGTATGTTGAAGCTTGTAAGGACATTGCCTAAGGTTTTGAAATACTTGCCTAGTGATAAGGCACAAGATGCTAGGCTTTACATATTGAGTCTTCAGTTTTGGCTTGGTGGTTCACCTGAAAATCTTCAGAATTTCTTGAAAATGATATCTGGCTCTTATGTGCCAGCACTTAAAGGGACAAAGATTGACTATTCAGATCCAGTTTTGTTCTTGGACAGTGGGATTTGGCACCCACTAGCTCCTTCTATGTATGATGACGTGAAGGAGTATTTGAATTGGTATGGTACCAGGAGGGACGTTAATGAGAAGCTTAGGGGGCCTAATGCACCAGTAATTGGATTGGTTTTGCAAAGGAGTCATATTGTTACTGGTGATGAGTGCCACTATGTAGCTGTGATTATGGAGTTAGAGGCAAGAGGGGCAAAAGTGATCCCAATTTTTGCTGGTGGACTTGATTTTTCTGGACCAGTTGAGAGGTTCTTGATCGATCCAGTTACCAAGAAGCCAATGGTGAATTCGGTGGTGTCATTAACCGGCTTCGCTCTCGTTGGGGGACCTGCTAGGCAGGACCATCCAAGGGCTGTTGAGGCACTGATGAAGCTGGATGTTCCTTACATTGTTGCACTGCCTTTGGTTTTTCAAACAACGGAGGAGTGGCTAAACAGTACTTTGGGGCTACATCCCATTCAAGTAGCTCTGCAAGTGGCACTTCCAGAGCTGGATGGAGGCATGGAGCCTATCGTTTTTGCCGGCCGTGACCCCAGAACAGGCAAGTGTAGTGACCCACTTTAGAATGACTCTTGTGTAATAATTTATTTTGCCTTTTTTTAAATGGTCATAACTTGTTTGATTTGTGTGCTTAAATTCTTGTTGATACTGTACAATACATTTAGATGAAGATAACAACAGGATTTTTCCCTCCTTTTGGAATTTAGACAAGTGCCTAAAATATGGTATTCGAGCTATGCCTTTATCTGCTATGCTTTTATTGCACTAGTTGTGCCGTGTTGTCTGTTGCTTTATCTTAGGAGGCCTCTTTGTTGCCGTCGCATGCTCCACTTATAGTTGTTTTCTGTCTCATATATGGCTTTGGACTCAAGCAAATATTGTGATCAGAGTTAAGTAAAATCGTGTTTTAACTGCAGGGAAATCACACGCTCTTCACAAGAGGGTGGAGCAGCTCTGCACCCGAGCAATCAAGTGGGCTGAACTGAAAAGGAAATCCAAGGTATTTGCTTTTAAGCTACGTAAATTTCCAATCTATATACATTATATGGCTTCTATTGTTCTCCAAGAGAGCATAGACATAAAATAATTAACCAAAAGGTTTAAATTAACAGCAAAAGTTTTTTGAGTCTACAGAACATATATCTGTAATGACTAATGACAATGTCTATGTAATCTATATTAGATACTACAGAACATATATGTGTGATGACTAATGATGATGTCTATGTAATCTATTTAAGATACTATCGCTTACTAGTTAAATCTACTTGTCAAACCTTTTATAATGGAGTTTTTTTCTCACATTTACCTAAAACTGACCTTCAATAAAGAATTTAGGTGTATAAAATCTTAAATTAGTCATGATTACCATGTCATCAATCACTTGTTTGCAATATGTGTTTGATGTTGATTATGATGATTGAAACTAAAATATCCTTTTCCTTTCTCCACATTCTATGACACATAACTTTATAAAACTTGAGAATATGCTGTTGATTTATTTGATTGGCCTTCTAGACCTTATTAATGTTGCTGGTTTCCTTATGTTTCTGTTTAGCACATCCGTGCTCTTTTTTTGGAGTTTTTATGATAAGTGTATGATTGTTGCAGACTGAGAAGAAGTTGGCAATCACTGTATTCAGCTTCCCTCCTGACAAAGGAAATGTTGGCACAGCTGCCTACCTTAATGTTTTTGCCTCCATCTATTCAGTTCTAAAAGACCTAGAGAAAGATGGTTACAATGTTGAGGGCCTTCCAGAGACTGCTGAAGCTTTAGTTGAAGATGTAATACATGACAAGGAGGCACAATTTAACAGCCCTAATCTGAATGTTGCTTATAAACTGAGTGTCCGCGAGTACCAAAGCCTTACTCCATATGCTACTGCTTTGGAGGAAAACTGGGGTAAACCTCCTGGAAATTTGAATTCTGATGGAGAGAATCTTTTGGTATATGGAAAGCAGTATGGTAATGTCTTCATTGGAGTCCAGCCTACTTTTGGTTATGAGGGTGATCCTATGCGGCTGCTTTTCTCCAAATCAGCTAGCCCACATCATGGATTTGCAGCATATTACTCCTTTGTTGAGAAGATTTTCAAAGCTGATGCTGTTCTTCATTTTGGTACTCATGGATCACTTGAATTTATGCCTGGAAAACAGGTGGGAATGAGTGATGTTTGTTACCCTGATAGTCTTATTGGGAATATTCCCAATGTTTATTACTATGCTGCTAATAACCCTTCTGAAGCTACCATAGCCAAGCGCCGTAGTTATGCTAATACCATTAGCTATCTGACTCCTCCAGCTGAAAATGCTGGGCTTTACAAGGGACTCAAGCAATTAAGTGAACTCATCTCCTCGTACCAGTCGCTTAAAGACTCAGGTCGTGGGCAACAAATAGTTAATTCAATTATCAGCACAGCTAAACAATGCAATCTTGACAAAGATGTGCAACTTCCTGATGAGGGAGAGGAAATTTCAGCAAAAGAACGGGATCTTGTGGTTGGAAAAGTATATTCCAAGATCATGGAGATTGAGTCCCGACTTTTGCCATGCGGGCTTCATGTTATTGGTGAGCCGCCATCTGCCATGGAAGCAGTTGCAACGTTGGTCAACATTGCTGCATTGGACCGTCCTGAAGATGCAATTATATCACTGCCAGCTATATTAGCTGGGTCTGTTGGAAGAAACATAGAGGATGTGTACAGAGGAAGTGATAAAGGAATCTTGAAGGATGTAGAGCTTCTGCGGCAAATTACTGAGGCCTCACGTGGTGCAATTTCTGCTTTTGTGGAGCGAACGACCAACAAGAAGGGTCAAGTTGTTGATGTGGCTGATAAGTTGAGCTCTATCCTCGGGTTTGGTATCAATGAACCCTGGATTCAGTACTTGTCAAGAACGAAATTCTACCGTTCAGATAGGGAAAATCTTAGAGTATTGTTTGAGTTCCTAGGAGAGTGTTTGAAGCTGGTTGTTGCTGATAATGAGTTGGGCAGTTTAAAACAAGCATTGGAGGGGAAATATGTTGAACCTGGGCCGGGTGGTGACCCAATTAGAAATCCTAAAGTGTTGCCAACAGGAAAGAACATTCATGCATTGGATCCACAAGCTATTCCAACAACAGCCGCAATGCAGAGTGCAAAAATTGTGGTAGATAGGTTAATTGAAAGACAGAAGGTTGACAATGGGGGAAAGTATCCAGAGACCATTGCACTTGTATTATGGGGAACAGATAATATTAAAACTTATGGTGAGTCACTGGCTCAAGTCTTGTGGATGATTGGAGTGAGGCCAGTGGCTGATACATTTGGTAGAGTCAACAGGGTGGAACCTGTTAGTCTTGAAGAGCTTGGCAGGCCCAGGATTGATGTTGTTGTTAATTGCTCTGGAGTTTTCAGAGATCTATTCATAAATCAGGTATTAGTCCTACTATCTTAAAAAAAAATGGAAATGTCATACACTAATCCATGCATAGAGATTGCATTTTTCTTACCTTGTCAGAGTTATCTTTCTTAAAAAAGGGATTTAAACCAGTGGCGTGTCAATTATTTTTGGCATCAAACCATTTAAGCTTCATTTCTGTCTGATCATCTTTTCTGTCTTTCCTTATCATTTTGTATTCTAATTTCTAATTTTTGGTTGACAGATGAACCTCCTTGATCGAGCTGTGAAGATGGTAGCTGAATTGGATGAACTAGTGGAGCAGAACTATGTAAGGAAGCATGCATTAGAGCAAGCCCAAGCCTTGGGGATTGAGGTTAGAGAAGCTGCAACACGGGTCTTCTCCAATGCCTCTGGATCCTACTCCTCCAATGTCAACCTGGCTGTTGAAAACTCCTCATGGAATGATGAGAAGCAGCTCCAAGATATGTACTTGAGCCGGAAATCTTTTGCTTTTGACAGTGATGCCCCTGGTGCAGGCATGACTGAGAAAAGGAAAGTCTTCGAGATGGCTCTAAGCACAGCAGATGCCACATTCCAAAATCTTGATTCATCAGAAATTTCACTCACTGATGTGAGTCACTACTTTGACTCCGATCCAACAAATCTAGTACAGAACCTACGGAAGGATGGAAAGAAGCCTAGTGCATACATAGCAGACACTACCACAGCTAATGCCCAGGTGTGCACCGTTACATTTTCCTCTGGATGTTAGACAACATATAGAATTGTATCTGAAACTTCCCACATTTTATGCTGATTCTACAACTTTAATTACCATGAATACATGTCTCACTGTACCTACTATGCTCCCATTTGCAGGTTCGAACTCTTTCTGAAACCGTGAGACTAGATGCAAGAACCAAGTTGTTGAACCCCAAGTGGTATGAAGGAATGATGTCAAGTGGCTATGAAGGAGTCCGTGAAATTGAGAAGCGCCTTACTAATACCGTAGGGTGGAGTGCAACTTCTGGACAGGTCGATAACTGGGTGTACGAAGAGGCTAATTCAACGTTCATTCAAGATGAGAATATGTTGAATAGGCTCATGAGCACCAATCCAAACTCATTCCGGAAGTTGGTGCAAACATTCTTGGAGGCCAATGGACGTGGTTATTGGGAAACTTCGGAGGACAATATTGAGAGGTTGAGGCAGTTGTATTCAGAAGTTGAAGACAAGATCGAAGGCATTGACCGATGAACTGTGAACAAATAGGTTCAGGAATTGCAAACATCTGTTCACACTGATTATTTTCTGGGGCCCTTCCCTCTTGGATGAGCTGAAACAACTGTCAGGAACTTATGGAATGCCAAATTGTTAATTATAAAAAACCTTTGCTCTGTGATTATGTCAATTTCTTGAGCCATCTCATCCTCCATTTGCTATAATTTGCATTTTCAAATCTATAGGACAATTTGCATAAGCAGGTTTTGGTCTTGAAAACGAGAATAAGTGATTTCACTCTTTGGTATATTGTGAAAGAAAAGGTTATTTCAGAAATAATGTAGTTCATACAATCAAATGAATCTGTTAACAAGTAAAACAATATAAAGAAGATATGAATCAGTTGGAAATTTTAGGTTGGAGGCCACAACGTCAGGGAAACTAGAATGATTTGGAATATTGAATATGCTGAAACTACCCTACATCGAAGAATACAAATAAATAAATGTAATTTTTCTAAATAAGTAAACTTTTTTTTTTAAATGAAAATTTTGAATTTTTCAAAAAATATTTTTTATAGTTATAGATATATAATGTATATATTTTCAACATTTTCAATGTGTTTATTTGAAGCGGATTATAAAACTAATTTAAAACACATAAAACATGAACATCAAAAGGTTTTTTTTTTTAATGTTATCTTTGTTATTTACAATAATTAATTTTAAGAAAATAATATTTTAAATTTGACATTTAAATAATCATGTAAAAAATTGAGAATTAAGAAACATTTGAAATCACGTTGGTTTGATCACATTGATTTGATATTTATAATTAATTAAAGTTTTAATTTGATTTTAAATTTTAATTTTTTTTTATAATTTCTAACTAAATTTTTTATGTAAATTTATTATTATTATTTTTTTAAATTTTTAATTTTATTAATGCAAGAGAGAGAGAAACAGGAAAATGAGAACATTTATATGTTCAGATTAAATTTTATTATTCATTATAAGGTAGCAATTTTTAGGGTATTTTTATTTCAACATCAGGAAACAGGATTCCAGATGTCTGTCCAGGAAGACCACAAACGAAAAAGGACAAGAATCCAAGAAAATGGATCTGCAATTCCTGAATGAAAATCATTAAAATCGGCAAAGCAGGATTGGCAATGGACATTTTCCACTCATATATTCATGAGCCCAACAGAACAGGATGAACACATTTTCTCTTTGGAGGGAATCTCCAACCAGTAAATGAATCATACAAAGGTGAATCTACAGAGAAGTTACAAAAAGAACACCCCTTCCCCTGAAAAAATTAAGGAAATAAAAAGAAGAAGAAGAAAAAAAAAAACAGTATTTGGTATCACAGTTACAAATGTAGGTACATGTTTCTTTCCCCTCCTCACTACTGCACGTCTTTCACCTTCAAACTAACTCCATTAGGAGCGGATCACCTTCAGCCATTATTCTGATTAGCCTTATGAATTCCTGTTCACTTGACACCTTCCATGGATGCACCGCAGGTGCTTGTGCAGAATAATGCGTCGAAGAAGAATTAGTAGAAGGTAGGTCCTGCTTATACACCATTTTACTAAGCACTGAATCAAAATTCTGAGGCAAATCCATTGACAAAAAGAACATGGGTATGGCAACCTTTTGATGGATTTCTAGATGCCCAACCAGATTAACAAGATCAACAAAGTCTGCTACAAAGCGCCAAGGAATGTAGAATATCTCAGAACTGCAAATTGTGAGGCTCTGGTCACTCCTTACAACTTCTTTATAATTCACTTGGAAGTGAACTGGCATTGTACTAACAACTTTCTTTACCATGTCCGCTTGCTTTGAATACCAATCTGAATTTCCATTGGTTGATGCAGTACTCCAAGACATGGATACCTTATTCCCATGAAATTGAGAGCACAAGCAAGAGTAGTGACTTAGTAGTTACTCAAAATAAACAATTTTCATCTTTTAGGAACATAATGCTTCATACTGTGTAAGATTATATTGTTACATACATGCATAAACAGACATAACAATTCAAACTGTTCCCTTCAAATAAATAGCAAAAGGAAATCTATTGCAAGAAACAAGCAAGTGCTAGAACAATTAATAATCATGTGAACGGTTAAAAGAAACCTATCCTGAGTAGGTCTCAAAAGGTTTACCCAACTAGTTTTTTAAAATAACACGTCAAGCGTCAAAAGAAAATAAATGCTAAGACAAAAGGCAGAGCTTTGGTACCTTATCTGCAATCCATAGCTTAGTCTTATCTGCCTGTAGCAGATTCCAGTAATTAAGAATGGTATCATCTTCGAGGAATAAAAAGCCGTCGGCACTAGAAAACCGATCAAATATCTTGGGCAGATGCCTAAACCAAATGTTAAGAGATAATTAGTATAAGATGAAAGATGCCCTGTACAAGTAATTCTGGTTTAACATGACTACAGGATGACTCAATGCCAATAAAACAGGCAGGTTATCACTTAACAGCTATAGTTTCCATGATTATCAACCATAAATTGACCACATAACAACAATTTGCTGCCTTTAGGAAGACTTTACTCAGAAGAAAGGAACACACGAACAACTTAATTGACATATTACCAAACCTAACTTACATTTTGACAAAAATAAGCAAACAGAAACACATTGTATTGCATATATAATTAATAAAACTCCATTTGCAGTGTAAGATAACTTCTTCAAAGAGATCATTAATTGTTTATACAACTAATTTATTCAGAAAATAATATTGATGGAAATTAATTTTTTCTAAGGCTTTGAGTAGGGAGGATGAGAAAAATTCTAAATCCAATGGTTATGCTATAAAATAGGACAGTAATTATGAATATTGGGCCTTAGATTGAAAAGTTTTCCACTCAATCCTTCCTACCAAGCAAAGCCTTAGTGAGGGTAGAATAGGGAGCCTGGGTATGGTTTAGCAAGGGAAAGCAGAGGTAGTACTTTGAATTAAAAAGAGATGTGGCTTGGCAAGAAAGGAACAGATTGTCAAGGATCATGGAGAAAATCAGAAAATATGGCTATTTTTGAGATTTTGAAATACTAATGATACCATCTGGAATCAGCAAAGACCAATTACAATGTAGCAAATCCCAGCTTCAAATAATACATCTACTTCATGCAAGGACTCTTTATGGTATAACTTCCATTCCCCTAAGGCTTAAAAAAGGCCCTTTGCAAAAACTTCAAGTCAAATCCAACTTAAAAAGTACATCCAGTATATTTTGAGTTAATAGCTTCCAATGAATGGTCATATCAAAAACAAAACCATGCCTGAATATGGAAACTGCTAATCAGACAAGGGGCCAGCCCAATTGGCAATTAGTATGTTATGGATCAATCATCTACCATAAAGAGACTCATTTTTCATTTTCAAATTCTAATAAAATGATTCTAAGTATAAAAGTTGCTTCACACAACAAACCAAAAAAATTCAATATCAACCTCCACTACCTAATATATGACAGCCTCTTATTTAGTAGTCTCTAAATTGCACTAAATTTGCACCTCCAATTTTACAATATAATTAAAAGAATCAAGGTCAACAGAAAATCAAAGGTTAAGACATTCAATATGAAGAATAATCCAAGTATATAATGAAATTAATCAATATTTACACGACTTCATCTTCAGTAGAACAACATAATATCATTTGCTTCACTATCTCATGCATGCATTTACTGCCAACTATGTTTCTGTAAAAGGCACATGAAAGAAAATCAAGACACTTCCATATTAGTTTTCCATGGATCAAGTGCAATTATGAAAACTGGACGTCCCAATTCATTGCAACTAATAATTGTTCTCTACAAATAATATTGCAATTAATAATTGATATCCAGATTCAGTTTGTCCAAGGCTTTACACAACAATTTATCTGGAGGTATTTTGCGATATTCTCCCTGCCCAGCTAAGGACGAAAGAAACTCAGGCAAATCAATGTTCTAATGGCCAGGAAAGGTATCTAGTAAAGCAGAATATAACTTTGTTCCCAAAAATACAAAAGAGAAGAAAAGTAAGACAAATACAACAATTGAAATTGTAAGCAAGAAGCATCATAGACAAATAAAGTGATAAAATAAAAGTATCATGTCAAGGGTAAGACATGATTCTTGTGGCAACTTACTTGTAAATTTGATCTAATTGACCTTCTTCGACAGCAAGATCTGAATTCTTCTGTGCAGACAAAATAACCACAGTTTTAAATATTCGCCCATAAAGCAATCTCCACTCCAAGGCAGTACGTTCCACAGGACCACTGCAGAACATGATAAGCACAACATTTCCAAAGTTCTTCCTCCAACGAATCAAATTCCCAATCTCATAACTAACTGTCCCTGTTTCCTCCACCGCTAGATGAACAGATGGCAATTTCTGAGGAATAAAGTCTTTTCGATCCCCATGACCAATATTTGCCCGTGGCCTGTCCAATTCCAATGACATCAACCTTGGCTGCTGATAACCCACAGCAAGCAAGTCCTGAAGCCAAGCAGCAGTAAACTTGAGGTCCTGCTCAGACCAAAACCCCTCTTCTGCCATAGCATAACTCAATTCCAATATCTTCTCAAACAACCTGTGCTTATTTGATCTCCATGACACCAAGAATTTAATCAAACGACCCACATTCACATGAAGATCCTTCTCCTCTGAAAAGGGGTATGCCTCAATTCTGTCATACCGGTGAACTGTAGCTGGATACACAACAACATAACCACCAATCTCCCACAAAAGCCTCTGTCCCCAATAACCCCTCAACACATCCGAAGCCATTGAACTAACAGAAACAGGGAGCATCAAGGCCCAAAATGCCGATGAATGATATATCGTATTAAATGAATTTAATGGCACCATCATACCTTGAGGCAATGCCACTTTCGGCGCATGCTCATCAAACCTAATATCAAAAGCTTCCAAACCTGACTTCCTAGTAAAATAAAACACAGAATCAACATCCGGTAACCCATTTGAAATCCCTTGTTGTATAAACTGTTTCCCACCAAAAACCTCAGTGTAAAACTCCTCATGTCCAATTTCACCCACATTTTCCAATGGTAATCCCCTAGGCCAAACTGACCGTTGCCCGAAATGAATATAAGGGTTGACTACAGTCCTATTAGGATTATCATGACTATACTGCAATATAACTTCTTGCCTAGCTCCTTCCCCCACTAATTCCACATCAAAATGTTTCCCTAGATCATTATCAATTATTTCCCCCCGATCATCAGCATCAAAGATCTTTTTAGCACCATGTTGAATCGCAAATAAATAACCAACACTTTTTCTAACATAAGAATCATAAGGCAAATGATCCACAACACGAAAACCCAAATTAGCTTGCATATCTAATGACAGAAAAATAGCACCTTTTAAGCTCCAATCTCTGGGTGTCCTCGAATTCCCGATTGCCAAAACCTGCCACCCTTTAACCTTCACCATCTTTTTCAACGCGTCGGACGGGTAATTTGCAACGGAGACAACGACCCATTGCTCTGATCTGAAATTAGCGTACGGCGACGTTTTGTCAGCAATGGGCTTGATTGAATTCCACTTGATTTGGGGGAAAGATATGGAATCGATCGCGTGTTGGGTCTGAGATTGGAGACAAAGGAGGGAAGCCGTGTTGGTGGAGGTGTAGAAGAAGAAAACGGCGGCGATGGTGGAAATTAGGACAAAGATTGTTATGATTCTGTAAAAATTCTCGGATACCCATGTGGAGAAATCAAGGTTTTTGGGTTCAGCGAACCGGCTTTGTTGAAGTGTAGGGAGGGTTCTGATCTGGGGAGGTTTCGGAGATTTCGGAACTGCACGGTCTTGGACCAACATTTGATCTTCTGAATAGATATTTCGAAGCTAAATTCTTGCGTAGATCTTCACTTCTGTTCCTCACTGTCAGCTTGACTCATTGCTTGACTCTTAAAATGGAGCCAGCTGCTTCACTATTTTGAACTCTCTTTTTGTTTTCGTTGTCGTTTGGGTTTGTTTTTATGCTCCGTGAGAGGCTAAAAGGAACAGAGAGACGGACACGCTCTCATGTGGCTGCCGACAGGTACAAGCGAAGAGAGGGGTGGTTTCGTAGGCTTCAATGTAAATGCAACGCAACTGCTACTAGTTTGGTGGGCCGTTGTCCTGTCTAATTCTGGAAATTTTTTTTTATTATTTTCTCTTCATGCATTTATTATTGTTATTGGCATTTTCTTTTCCTTTCTGTGGTTGGATGATTGGGCATTTGAGCTAAAGCCTTTAATTTAATTAAGGAAAAGGTGAGCTAGCCCTCGCGCTGACGGCAGATAAATCAGATGATGCTAGTCTGTACCGTGGGGCCACCCATTCGCCCCAAACATGACTGGTTTGGTTTGAGTTCGATAAAAGCTCCCTTTTAACTGCGATGGCAGCCCGTGAAGCAACTTGCATTTGTTGCTTTTCGCTCCAAGAAAGAGAAAATTTTTATTCAATCACAAAACATCACATGTCGAAAATTAATAAATTTTAGAAGTCGGATAATGTAACCATGTGTATTGGAAGATGTCATAAAATAAATAATTATTAGTTAAATTATCTCAAAAATATGTAATTAGAACAATTAAAATTTACCTATTGATTATCAAATTTACTTCTAAACAAATCAACATAATTTAGAGATAATATTTAAATTTTGATTAATTGAATTTTACCTTTTAGTTATCTAATTTATCTGTAAAATTAAGATAATTTGAAAATAAGATGCAAATTCGGTCAATTAGGACTCAAGATTTCAAGTTTGACTAATCAAAAGACTATTTATGATTCATCATAATTTATCTTTAATCAAATTAATATAATTTTAAAGTAAATTCAAAGAAATTAAATTTCAAGATTAAGTTGTAGACCCTTAAAGCATGAAGAATCAGACCAAGTTGTAGACTATCAAAGAATATCAAAGATTGTAGACTCTACGTCTGATAAATATTTGTTATTGGTCTTAGGATTTCTAGTCTAATTTTCAAAACAAATTTTGTGTATGCATATTTCTAGCACACTCAGTGGGACAATCTTTATCTGTCATCTTTTTTCTTCAAAAACTCAAATTTCCAAATTGCAATGACTCCCAAACAAGAACCTCGTTAGTAACTACCTGTCCAAATAGCTCAAGCGAATCTTGCAGTTTCCCAAAATTCATCATCAGGCACAAATATTCGATTTCATCAATAAGGTATTATGAGAAGGATAAAAGCTTTTATTGAATATTTGTAAGTAGACTTCTGTAGTGCTGAAACAAAATTTTTTGTGTGATGTTTCTTCTACAAGTTTAGAAGAAGTCTTTGCTCTGCAACTTGCTTCCTCTAAAGGATCAAGTACAAATCTTTAACTCTTATGCAAGGAACAGGACGCTTATTCAAGTAATAGCTTTGTTCTTTCATTCCCTCGACACAATTCCTCTTTAAAAGCAAATTCTAGAATGATGACTACTATGACAACTGGCACGACATCTATAGAAAAACAAATTGCATTTTTTGCGAAGATTGTAGAATCTTTGACGACAAGCAGCAGAGAAAATGATGAGCAAGTTGCCTCAATGATGGCAAGAATTAGCAACCTTATTGGAAAGACATAGGTTGCTCTTAGCCAAACTTAGTGCCAAAATCTTCAAGAAAATGATGAGAATTCCATTACAAAAGTTGAAAACAATCCTCAACAAAAACCAAATAAAGTGGTCATGGCTAACCAGTTGAAGGAATTCGTCAACGAATTGGTGGAAAGTGTTACCTAATCTTCTTACACTTATGCGAAACCATACTTTTAAAGGATTGATTGCATCAAGATGTTATAAAACTATCAACCACTAAAGATCCAATAGTTTGATGGTAAAGGAACTCGTCAACATATTGCACACTTTGTGAAAACTTGCAACAATGTTAACATCGATGGAGATCTTATGGTGAAGTAGTTCATTCACTCTTTAAAATGCAACACCTTTAATTGGTACACTACTTTGGAGCTTGAGACCATTGACAGTTAAGAGCAACTAAAATGTGAGTTCTTTAATTGCTTCTATAGCACTCGACGTGTAGTAAGTATGATTGAACTCACAACTTCAAATCAATGAAAAAATGAACTTGTGATTAATTACATCCAAAGGTGGAGAAATCTTAGTCTTAACTACAAAGAGCGATTGTTCGAATCATCAACCCCTGATATGTTTATCCAATGGATGAATGGGGGATGATGCTACCTTTTTCGAGGCATTATGCCTAAAACTTTGTCTATGATTGTGAACACCAAACCCATCAAGATGACTATCAACTCAAAAGAAACCTAGGAGGTAAAGTCTGGCCTTTTGCAAGATAAAAAGAAATCATCTTTAAAGGAAAATCAAGATAAGTAGTACCTTTTCCCTAACTTAGATGTTGTAGAAATCTTAGAAGAATTTCTAAAGTCAAAGCTTATTCAATTGTTAAAGATGAAGTGACTAGAAAAAGTTGATCGAGTAGATGACCCCAACTATTGCAAATACCATTGTTTGATTGGTCACCCTATAGAAAAATATTTTGTCATGAAAGACAAAATCATGGGGCTATACAAGGATATGAAAATCGAGTTTGAAGAAGAAATGGTGTCATCATATTCAGCATTAGTGATGAGCATGCTTTCTCAACCAAATGTGTTTAGTACATCCATAAACTTTGTATCTTTCGACTACATCACGTCAACCTTAAATACAAAGGAAACATCCAATCTTTAAGTTATTGGACATTTTCAAATAAATATGGGACACAATCCCACGATGCAATAAAAGGAAAAATTATGTTGATTGGAAATTGGAAAATAAAGGAAGGGTCATGTTTGTTGAAATAAGAAAATAAAGGAAGAGTCATGTATGTTGAAAAAACCAATAGTTGTGACTGTTTGAAATAAAACAACTATGTTTGTTGGGAATGGACACCTAAGCTTATAAAAAGAACCTCCTTTTAAGCAACAGAATGTACAACAGAAAAAAAAAACAACAATCTCTCCTCTTTTCTTAACATTCTCTAAGTTTTATTCTATATCATTTTGTTGCAAAAAAGTCTTATAGAAGTTTGATAATCTTTTCAAGCTCTAATGAGTGTTTAGTGTATTGATTTTGTCAGTGTAAAATGTCATCAATCACTGGGTTTCATTGTATCTTTGAGGTTTATACACTAGTAACTCTTTTACACACTACAAGTGGGGGTGAATAAAACCTTAAAGGTTATGGCATTGATAAATGTCTTAAAGCATTTTTGGCATTTTTTAGTTTAGCGTTCTAATAATCTTAAGATTTTATTTCATTTTAAATAGCTGTTGTAAGTGGAATACTAAAGGAATTGGTTTTTAATTTTGTGGATTGGTATGACCAAATTAGGTTGTTAACTTGTTTTGATAAAATGGAAGTTTAAATGAATTATAGTACTATGCTAATTTTTACTCATGGAATCTACCTTTCATTAAAATTCTAAATCCTTTGTTATTGCCATTTTTTCTATTGAGAGTTGCGTTCTGCAACAATTGATAGAAGAAACCCAAAAACACATGCCTAATTTGGCACTTTGGCTATAGTAAACCATTGTTACAATGCGGTGTGGTAGGTTAATCTTTTAATTGGTGAATATATGCAATGAAGTTTCTTGGATGGCCAAGTAAGCAACAAAAATTTCTTCAGTTAAGAAATGGTTGATGAGTTTGTTTCCATTTTATATTGCTTTAGATTTTAATAGATGACTGTGGATTGGATAAGAATTCTCCTATTCACTGGCTCCAATTTCATATCACTAGTTTAATAATAAGCTTTGTGGATTAATCATTAATTTCTAATATCATAAAATTAAACAGTGAATTTTACATGGGGTTTGCACATAGATTAACAAATGGGCAAGGCAAGTATCCTCTATTTTCCTTTGGCATTATTTTTTATGTCTAGTATACTGATATCCCTAGCGGCCATTTTTTCATTGAGGTTCCTCGCTATTATTGACATAGTATTCTTATTTTACAAAAGGTAGTGACGAGTTAGAACAACCTAAAGAATCTTAATTTTGCTATTAATTTCGATGATATAGTTGATGGACATTTTTCCAAGGATTAATCTCTAAATACTATGAGTAAAGTAGTTGGTGAGTTTGAAAAAAAATTTAATGGTCTCGTGTATCACATGATTGGAAATCATTATTTTTATAATCTCCCACGAGATAAGTTACTTCTGTTATTGAAAATCCTAAATATTGGTGGTGGTGGTCATGGCTATTATGAATTTTCACCAACCCCAGAATATAGATTTGTTGCATTGGATAGCTATGATATCAATATAATCGGATGACCTCATGATCATCCAAATACATTGGAGGCCTTGAAATTCTTGCAAAAAAAGTTCAAATTTAGATAAAAATAGCCTAGAAAGATTGGAAGGCCTTGATAGAATGTTCCCTATGTTTAACGAAGTTGTTGGAAAAGAATAAATGGAATGGTTGGATGGTGTACTTCAAGATACTACAAACTTGAAATAGAAAGTAACTATATATTGTCATTTACCTTTGGATCCAGGTGCGTCAAATCCAAAAGTGCTTTTATATAATTATGACCAAGTAATGGATTTGATTCATCATTACAAATGTGTGAAAGTATGCCTAGTTGGGCATGATCATGGAAGAGGACATTCAATTGATTGTAATCTATGGATGGTACCACCCAACAAAGATAAACCAATAGCACAAGTAGAATGTGCAACTGTAATAAATGCCTAATATATGCAATTGCGTGTACAAAACCAAAAATAACATTTGTTATTGGGAAATTAAGTCAATACACAAGTAATCCAAGTATTTTGCATTGGCAAATATAAATAGAATACTAAGGTATTTAAAGAAAACAATCAATTATGGACTTTGCTAGAATGGATATCCATCAGTACTAGAAAGATATTCAGACGCTAGTTGGATTACAAGTTTAGAAGATCATGCTCCCACAAGCATATAGATCTTCATGTTTAGTAGAGGTGCCATTTCTTGGGAGTTTAAGAAACAAATATGTATAATAGATTCTACCATGGTAATCGAATTTATTGCATT